GCCGGCAGAGCAGCAGCCCAGTTGCCCCGAGTCTCGCCACGACCCGGAACCACACCTCACGCACCGGAAGTCCCTGACTGGGAAGGAGCTGCTGGCTGGGGACGTAGTGCGCAAGCCCCAGAGCCGGGAGCGAAGAGTGGAGCCCGGGGGGGCGGGGCCGAACGGAAAGCCGTGCGCCTGCGCGCCACTTTCCTGGCACCAGTTGAGGTCAGGGTCAGAGCTTAGCTGAGGGTCTAGCCCTGGACTTGGGTAGGTGGAAATCAACGTTAGCGGTCTCCTTTCAATCTTCTTCTCCTCTCTCCCCGTTTCTATGGGAGAAAGCCCTAAGGTCATAAAAAGTGAGTGATGAGGCAGCTTAGCCTCTGGGTCAGAAAGACCTAACTGGCTGTGCGTCCTAAAACAAGATACCTCCCCTCTCTGACCCTTGGTTTTCCCACACATACAGTAGTTCCAGTTTTAGAGTATTGCGGTGAGACTCAAACGGGATGATGCTTTAAAAACACTCAACACAGTGCCGGACACAATAAACACTTAGTAAATGTTAGCTGTTACTCTTATTATCTGTAGACTGGAGGTGATAATTATCCAACTCAAGAACTGAAGGGAGGTGTCCATCAGATATAAGGACTGACTGGGAACAGGGGCTCATTGTTTGTGGGGTCTCTCCCTCAGCGGGAATCAGTGGGAGAAGCCGCCTGAAGGGGAAATAACTCAAATGCAATGATTTAGCTCTCCTACCTGAGAGATAGTCCAGAAAGTCTCTTTCAAAAATGCACCTTAGGGCCCTGGCCAGGTAGCTCAGTTGATTAGAGCATCCTCCCCATACACAAAGGTTGGGGCTGCATCCCCCTTCAGGGCACATACAAAAAGCAACCAATGAATGCATAAGTAAGTGGAACAACAAATCGATTTTTCCCTCTCTCCTTTCCTCTCTCTCTCTCTCAACTCAATAAATACAAAATTTTAAATGCATCTTAGCACAAGAAAAAGAAAAGTCAAGACTGAATTTCAGTCCAGGGGGATCCTTACCCAATATTAACGTCACCAACAAATACACCATGGATCTACCCTTATTTTCAAATATGAGTAATCTCTTAGCTCATGGGAGCGAGGGGAGATGCATCTTCAACACCCAAGGGCGTTCCTGCACACACATCACCACAGTTCCATTGGGGGCCTGTTAGAGGCACTCTGCCAATCAAAGGGTGTAAACACCGTTTGATAGTCTGTTTTCTGAAGTCGCCAGATTATTTCACCCCTCCTAAATATTAATCTTAATTTTCACTTCTGTCTTGAGCTCCAGTCTGAAGCACAGCTGCCTGATTGCCCCTCATTCACATAAAACCCAACCGACCCAACTGGACACACTAAGCATATCCCCTCTACCACTTACAAGTGATTTCATCTTTCCCAGCTGCCTCTCTAAAATTCCTTATCTGTAAAATGGGAATGACAAAAGTCCTAACTAACCCCATTGGGTTGCTGTGAGGATTAAATGAGCTAATACATATAACTCACATAGAATAGAGCTTGGTATAAAGCTAATAACATTTACTAATATTTATATAAAATGCTTACCACTATTACTGCACCTTAGTCAGTAAGCAAGTACTTACTGAGTGCCTGTAGATTAAGCCTTTCCGAGGCACTGGAGATTCAGTGGTGAAAAACGAGGCAGGGACTCCAGCTTCATGAAGCTTATAGTCAAATCTGACTATGAATTTTAAATAGTTGTTGTGGTAAGTTGGAGTGCAGGGAAATGTAAAATTTCAAAGACATGGTTGAGGGCCCCATTGAGAATAGAGACTGAATTTATGGTGATGCTAATATAATGCTTTGTGTGACTTTTCTATAGTTGGTTTAAGTAGTCAAGATAAAGGCACACAAAGGGTGAGCAATTGCTTTAATTGAAGGAAGGAGTTTTGCCAGACAGGTGTGATGGAGTTTAAGAGTGCCTTAAACAAAGGGCCACAGAATGACCCGAAGGTCCTGGAACAGGTGTAATGGGAGTCAATGATGGAGCAAGGCGGAGAGATGGAGGTTATCCTCAGAGATGGATGTCTCAGCGAATAACCTCAGATGAAGAGTCCTGTGAGAGTGGGGTCCTGGCTGAAATAGAATTGGAGATGAGATGGTCAAGGAACTGAGATGCCGCATGGACCTCGAGAGCTCCTAGGTCCTAGGAAGATGGATGGACATGAGGTGAAAAGGAAATGGGTGCTTCCCAAGCCATTCTGCAACTGAGGGAGGGAGGTAGAGGAGGAGGAGAGAGAGTGGGCCGACTGTATGGCTTAGCCTCCAAAACATAGTTGTATCAGACAGTTGCAATGACATTAAAAAGCAAAGCAGTCCTGGCCCATGTTTCTCAGTGGTTAGAGTGTTGGCCCGGGCAGCAAAGCGTCTCGGGTTTGATTCCCGGTCAAAGGCACATACCTAGGTTGTGGGTTGTATCCCTGGCCCCAGTAGGGGCATGTGCTGAAGGCAATCAATTGATGTGTTCTCTCCCACCAATGTTTTGCCCTTGCCCTTGCCCTCCCTCCTTCCTTTCCAGGTTCTTAAAAAAACAACAACAAAAAACAATCAGTGGGCAAAGTATACTCGGGTAAGGATTAACAACAACAAAAAGCAAAGCATACAATGACCTATCTCCCAACCCAGGGGTTCATGGGGGTAGGATCATGGCAGCTGACACACAGAGAAAAAGTATATTTTTACAGCACACTGATCGTGCTGGGCCAGGGCCTGAAGGGGGACTCCAATAGACGAGAGGGCAGAGGGGCTAAAACCTCAGCATCCCTATGACAATCAGGTTTCATAGACTTCAGCTCCAGTTTGGAAAGGAGGCCGTGGTAAGGGATGGAGGCTCCTTTTCTTGCGGTTCCCAGGACGAGAACTGGGGCAATGGATAGAGGTTCAAAACACCTACCAGCTGTGTGGCCTTCAGCAAGTGATTTGCCTCCTCTATATCTCATTTTTATCGTCCAGGTTTTCTCAATTCCTGCTCAAACCTTAATTGCCCTTTCCCTCTCCACCAGTAAATTCCTTTT